TCTTCGCCAGGGCTTCGGCGAGCATCACGGGCTGGCCAGGGGCACGCCTCGACAGCGACGAGATCCTGGGGTCTCGCCCGGGGCCGCGGCGCCTCTCGGCGCGCCAAGCCTCCTCGTCGCGCTCCTGGACATTCTCCACCGAGACCCAGCCCTCCTCTTCGCTGAGCAGAGCGATGCCGACCGCATCCCTGAAGAGCAGCCTCTCGGGGTTCCCAGCGATATGGATGTCCAGCTCCTTCCCGAAGTCCGGCGACCCAGGGTCCGAGACGATCCAGCGCGGCAGCAGAGCGCCAGGCGCCGCCGTGGGCGTCGTCACGCCCATCACCACCGCCAGAGCCCGCGCCTCGACTCGGAGCGCCTCGATGTCGTCCGGGTCGGTCTCCCCGAACGCGTACACCTGCCCGCGCACCCTCTGCGGGAAGGCCGAGTCGCGTCGGAGAGCCACGACCAAGTGCCCGCTCAAGTCCAGGACGAGCACCTCGCCGTCCGGGCTCGCTGCGACCCAGACGCCTGGACTGAGCTGCACCAGCAACAGCCGATGGTGCCACCTGAAATTGTCGTCGTCGTCGAAGTTGACGCACACCTGCGACTCCGGCACGTCGAGAGTGCGAAGAGCCGCCATCCCGACTCAGTCGCTCAGGCGCGCACAGCGCGAAACCCGCGCCGCCCCGCCAGCGAGACCTGCAGCCCGTCGTCGTTCACGAGGGCGTCCTCGCCCTGAGCGGGACGAGGCGTCGCCAGGCCCCCGAGGAGCTCCGCGACCCAGCACACCGCGCGGAGCACAGCGCGGCCGCCTCCGCCCAGCAGGACGCCCACGGCCAGGGCAGCCCACACGGCCCACCAGCCCGGCCCGCTGCCGCAGCTCAGGCTGCACGCCGGCAGCTCGGGCACGTCCCGCAGCTGACCGCCGGCGGCGGAGGGCAGGACGGGCAGCTGCCGCAGGTGACGCGAACCTCAGGGCACGCCGGGCACTGCGTCAGCCAGGCGGTCGCCACCGAAGCAGCCCAGGGCCCGGCCGCCAGCCACGGGAGGCCCATCCGCTCCTGGGGCCCCACGATCAGAGCTTTAAGCCAGAACGGTTTCGGCGAGACAGAGAGCGCAGGCGGAGCGGTCGTGCGCTCAGAAACTGTCGAGGCCCTTCAATCACAGGAAAACCAGTCAGAGACAAATCAGCCCCATGAGGCCATCCTATAGGCCATCCTACAGGGCATCGTGTTCGCCTCAACCACTCTCCCCAGACACCTGTCTCCCTCTTCCCCCCAAGGTGATCGACGAATACCAATCATCGATGCTTATTCACAGAACGGCTGTTTTAGGATGGGCTGGTGGGGATTCGCGAAGCGTCAACAATTAGTATGTTTCCATACCTTCCTGTTGTTTTCCATTGTATTCAGGCTTCCGACCGAGAGGTCGATTGGTAGTCTCTGGAGGCGAATGCGCTTCCTAAACGTACACTATGATTCCGTTCATGTGTCCAGTATACCCCTCTTCTGCCCATTGCTTTCTTGTGGGAAAATAGAATTGGCAACATTTGGTTGGTGTGGTTCCTACGTTCCCTCTGGCTGCGTTGTTCCTCAGATTCCGCATGTGCCCTTGTGGTTTCCTACGGAGAGGTCGGGTGAGTAACATCCAAAGGTTGGTGTGTTTTCCCGTTGGTTCACAAACTTGCTGTCCCGCCATATTCCTCTGATTTCATCTGCTCCCTTTGGTCCCCCGCGAAGAGGTAGACGGAGCGAACACGCCTGCGGCTGCCCCCCATGGTTTCCGCATGTACTCCCTTTGTTCCCCGTTGGTTCCCTCTGCTTTCCGAGCCAGAAAATTTGAATGAACAGACTTCGCATATTACATGTGTCCCACATCTTCCTGTGCTCCCATTTGTTTACCTTTGCTTCCCCGTGATGTCTTCTGTTTCCCTGTGGCTCAAAATATGATAGAATGGGGAACCTCCGAAGGCTATTGCTGCGACCTCGGGAATGCATTCTTCTTCTCGGCGGGCGGAAGGTGGGCGAGGGGGGAGGAGGGAGGAGTGACGAGAGGGGGCAGAAGGGAAGAGGAGGGATGAGGGAGGGGGCAGGAGGTGGGAGGAGGGAGGGCCGAGGGAGGAGGGATGGCGGAGGGAGGAGGGAGGGTGGAGGGAGCAGAAAGGCGGGAGGAGGGTGAGGCTCCGCCTCACGTCGGCTTGGCGGCTCGCCAGCAGGGCTCCCACGACGTCGACGGCGTGCTCCTGTCAGGGCGGGGCAGGCGACAGCGGGTGGGCTCGCCTCATCGATCCTCCATGACTTTCCCTCAAACGTGTCGGGGCCGGACGTGCGCTCCGTCCGAGACTTCCTCGCCACTCAAGTTCCTGACGGTTGCCATCTGCAGCAGTTGAGCGGATGGTAGGGGGAGTGTCTTCAAAATGGAGTTCTCGCCTGAGCCTCGCACGCATGTGCCTCAACAGCTTGAAGCAACTGCGAGGAGAGAGAGAGAGAGAGGGGTTTCCAAATTGTTGTTCTCGCCGTAGCGTCGCGCACAAATGTCTCAAATGCTTGCAACAGCTACAAAGACGGATGAAGCCGTTTTCGACATGGACGTCCCGCATCAACGCCGCGCGCATTCGAGCTGAACGCATGCAGCAATTAGAAGGATGGGGGCAGATGTTGTTCCAAATGATGCTCTTGCCCCAGATTCAAGCACCTTCGTCTTAACAGGTTATGGCGCTACAGTGATGGCGGACGGTTCCTTTTCCAACATGGGGCTATGGACCAAGACTTCCAGAATTTCAATCACCAGAGTATTGTACATGTGTAGCAGCTGCACAGATGGAAGGCCGCAAATTTTCAAAATGCAGTTGTTGCTGAATATTTGATGTGTATTCATGGTCAGAGACATGCTATGTTGAAACAGGTGTACGGGTTGGGGTGGCCCCCTCTCGAAACACAGATCTCCCTGGACACCCCTTCGAAACGTCTGGTTCTGCAACTTTGGCATCCTGTCATATCCGTCATCCTGTCCACGGCTACATCGATAACTGTAACCCTCCTTCGAACGAGTAGAGAGATGCACACCAGTTCCTCTTCAAGCCGGGGCTCCCGCCCAAACGGCAAGCGCACAGGGTGGTGCAAGCGCCTATACTATAGGCTTGCAGGGGCTCGGGGGCGCACGGCGGCCTGGCTGATCCTTCTCGGATCTGCTCTCGGGTCCTCCCTCCCTCCTCCTGCTCCCTCCCCCTTCGCTGCCCCCTGTTCCATCTCCTCCTCCTCTTTTTCCTCGTGCTCCCCCTTCGCCTCCTCACCCCTCCCCCTTCCCTCCGCCCCCTCCCCGCCCCCTCAACGCAATGGAAAACGGACAAAAAGGGAACATGACGTCAGATATGCCGCGAGCGCGCCTATCTTGTCCTCCCCCCCTCTTTCCCCCGCCATTATCCGTCCTCCTCCCGTCCCCCCTCAACTTCCTCACCCTCTCCTCAACTCCAAATTCAATTCTTCCCCGGCTCGCTGCTTGCACTGGAAGGGCGTTCGCGGCAGCCGGCAAGATTTTGCGAAGGTGCGCTACCGATTATGGTTGGCGACCAGGCTCTAAGGTTCCAGGGATCCGAGTCGTGGATTCCCACCTGGGCCACAATGTCCCCTGAAAGCGCCAAGGCGGGGCTACAACATGCGGCAAGCGTGTGGCGGAGGACTGTCCACGCGCTCGTTCCCTGCCATGGCCGCAGTCGCCTCGGCAGCGAGTGACAGCGCCCTCGATGCAGGCTCGCGGCGCCTCCACGTCTCGAGCAGCGCCCAGCCGCCGCCGCAGGCTGGGCGCCGCGAGGAACGCCCCCGCCGACGCATTGCGGGCGGCCCCGAAGCCAGCCAGCACCAGCGGCCCAGAGGTTCTCAAGGTAGTTCGCGACGACGGCGTTGACGTCCTCGCAGCCGTCGCCAAGGGCCCGCGGGCACTGCCGAGCGACGCCGTGGTGGGCCAGGAACGCTGGCGCAGCTTGTTCACGCCAACGCGGCGCCGCGGCCGCCGCGCGCAGGCAAGGTCTGGCGGCGGGCGCCGCGGCGCCTCAGGCGGGGGGCTCGCGGCGGGCGGCGGCCCGCGCAGTCGGCCCCGTCCGCGCCTCTCGGCCCCGGGGCCGCGCCTCAGCTCCATCCTCGACGGCTCGCCCGCCAGGTTGTCCGCCGAATTCGCGTGGCCGAGCAGCGGGCGCATGTCGACCGCCGCGGCGGCGGCCATCCAGCGCTTGAGGACGGGCTGGGGCTTCCTGCTGCCGCTGCGGCTTTTCGCGACGATGGCCGCGACCGCCCGGCCGTCCACTAGGTGCCAGCAGCGGCCCCCGCGCTGCGATAAGTTGCGGGCGCGCCATCTCGGGGCCGCCGTTGCCGCCTGCAGCTCTCTGAGGTTCGCGCGCGCTGACTTGCCGCGCGGCCGCGCCGCGCCGAGGACGGTGCGCCACTCCCACGCGAAGGGGTCGAGGCACGACCCGGGCCAGCCGCGAGCGCGGCAGGGGGCGCTGCGATTCAGCCCGACGCCAGTGCCCCCTTTCTCCGCGCGGCCCAAGCAACGCATGACCAAGTGCCTCGACCGCTCCGGGTCGGGATCACCAGCGCCCGTCTCGAGGGCCCCCGCCTGGACCCGGGCCCCCTGGCGCTGGCCCACGCGGGGCACCTCGCGCATGCCGGGCCCCAGTGCGAGGGCCCCTCGCTGGGGCAGCGGTAGCTGGCCCATCCATGCCGCGACGTACGCGCTGAAGCTGTTGCCGAGGAGACAGGCCCGGGCATCGGGCGCGCCCTGCGGCATCGAGCCTTTCGCGGCTAGGGAGGCGCGCCCCACGTCGAAGCCATGCAAAACCACCTTTCCTCGCTACTGGAAGGCGGGGGGAAGGGCAGCGCGGGCGTCGGGCCGCGTCTTCATCGTCGCGCAGAGCAACGCGGCAGCGATGCGAGCCGGCCTGCCGCCTAGCACGGGCCGCGGCCGACGCCGCCGCGAAGCCGCGGGGCGCCGACGGGGCGGCGGCCCCGGGGCCCGCGGCAGACCGGCGCCGGCAAGTTCCCGGGCCGCCCAGGCCACTCGCAGCCCTCGCCCTCCCAAGAGACGCCCGTGAAAGGTGCGCCCTCGCCGACGAGCTCGTCGCGGGCCCCGCCCAGAAGAGACGCGGCCGCCTGCGGGGCGCGAAGACAGGAGGGCACGCCAGACACGGCCGCGCGCACAGCGCGGACGAGATGACCGACATGCCGGCCGCGCCCTCGACGAAGCAGGGCAGCTTCGAGCCGTGGACCGCGCGTAGGAGGCCCAGGGCGCGCGAAACCGCGCGGAACAACGGCGACTCATTCCTTTTCGTAAAAAAACCGCGGCCACCGACGTTCAGGCTCGAGATCCTGGCAGGGCTGCCAGCGGCCGCGACGCAGAGGTCCACGTGCTCGCTGACGGCGACGAACAGCTCCTGCGCCATTGGGGCCTCCACGCGCGCGACGTCGCCCCAGTCGATGGCCCCTGGCCAGAACAGCCCGACCGCCCGCCGCGCCTTGGGGTCCGTCTCCGCCGCCACGCGGGCCACGATCCGCATTGGGAGGCGCGAGAAGGCGACGGCGGGGCTCCCGATGCCATCGAAGCGGCCGATGAATAGCGCCGAGAAGACCTTGGCCACCGCCAGCGACGGAACCCGCGTGTTCGCCGTCTTCTTCGGCTGGGCAGGGTCCTCGACCATGTAGAGGGGCCTGGCGCCGATCCCCAGCTGGTCGGCCACCCCCGCGCGGGCCTGCAGCGCGCTGGCCACGTCCTCGCGCAGGCTGACCGAGGCGCGCGCGCCCCCGCCCAGCTCGGACGCGCCCGCGGCCGCGGCCATGCCGTCGACGAGGGCCCGCCGCAGGGGGGTGGCGGACGCCGGGAGGAGCGCGACCAGAAGCAGAAGCTCCCCGATGACCTCGGCGCTGAGCAAAACAATCGCGGCGGCCGCCGACAACGAACGTCCAGGCCGCATTCGGGGCTGCGAAGAGCGGCCGCCGAAACTCGAAGGCTCGCACCAGCTTCCCGAGCGCGGCCATCGCAACGCGCCAAGGCAGCTGCGTCCTCTGCGCCGGGGCCAGGCAGTGGGCGGCCGTCGGAACGGGAACAGCGACCCTCCAAATGACGCCGTCGACGTCGGCCCCCACGCGCTCCACCCCCAGCTGCATCAGATGCGCCTTCTCGGCCGAGAAAGAAACGCCGGCCCTCTGGTGGCTCGCGCGCACCTGCTTCTGCGCGCCACGCCCGGCCCCTACGAGCGCGCAAGCCCAGGCGCATCAAAGTCGTCGATGTAGACCCGCCATCGCCCGGCATCCTGGCCGCTCCCCGCCTCCACCAGTGGACGGGCGCAGTCCTCGCGCCACTCGGTGTCGGGTGGCAGGCCCGCTCCTCGCGGAGGCGCCGGGCGGCGCAGCCTGCGGTGGATGCGTTGGGGAACGAGCGCGGCCAACGACCAGCCCACGGCGATGGCCGCGGAAACGGCCCCGGCTCGCCCGAAGAATTGGCCCGCCAGCGGTTGCCCCACCGTGTAGGGATGCCGCGCGGGAGGGGCCCGCCACGCGAAGAAAGCGCCCTTCTGGTTGTCACCCAGCCACGGCAGAAGCGTCGCCGCGGGGGGGCCGCGATTGACGCCCAAGACGTCGACGCGGTCAGAAGGAGCGAGTTGCCCGGCAGCATGTTCAGAATGTCTGGCGACCCGCTCGGCGCCGGGCGCTGGCGCGCCTTTTGCTACTTTGCGAACAGCCCGTTCGAAAACCGGCTGACCTCGCGCGCGGATCAGCTCGTTCCCCGCCAGGCTCGCGAAGATACTCAGGGGGACGAAGTGCAGCGCAAGCTCCTGCCAGGCCTCGCCCGTCTCCCGCGAAGTCGAGCGCGTCGAGCGCGGCGGCGCGCTCCCGCGAGGGCAGCCTGGGGCCAATCTCACAGAGAGAGCACGAAACACCGGCAAGAAGCACATAACCAATATTACTTAATTCGCCTCCTGAAAGCCTCGTGGGAGTCTTCTTGACGGCATATTGGCAGTCTTGAAGCCCTCTTGGGCTGTCTTCAAGTCGTGTTGGGCCACTATTGAAACGCTCTTGTGCGGTCTTGGGCTCTCTTGGAACGCTCTTGGGCCATTTTGGCACCCTCTTCGACGGTTGTCGCCCCCCCTTGACGTTTTTTTGGCGCCCCCCGCCGGGCCCGAAACGGCCGGAAGACAAATCAATGCACTTCTGGGGGGCCTGGGACCCCGTACCCACGCACATATTCCACTTCCTATATTTCTGCAAGCCCGGGCGGGGGGGAAACCCGTCCCCCCCCAAAACCGGACCCCCGGGATCTGGGGCTTTGGGAACCTCCAAATTGGCCTCGACGCGGCCCCCGGGCTTCGCAGGGCGTTTTGCCAAGCCTTCCCAACACACCTAAGGCGATCCGGGGGGTCATGGGAGACGTCCCAGAGACCCCCAAGACAGCACAAGAGCGCTCCAAGAGTGACCGACGTGACCTCAAGATGGCCCAAGAGGCCTCCAGGACGGCCCCAAAGAGGCCTCCAAGAGCACTCCCAAGAAGGCCCCCCGAGGCGAACATCATTGATTTTCTGCGGGTTTTTGGTGAAGTCTGCGGTTCTCCTCTATTCGGCTCCCCGACGCTCCAAGACGGCGGTCTTCTGGGCGTTCGAAGCCGCCTGCAGGGCTCCCGAAACGCCCCACCACCGTCCAAAAGGGCTTCCAAGCAATCCAAGAGAGCCCCAAAACGGCACAACACGGGTCCAAGATGGCGCTCAGAGAGCCCCATGGCGGCCCAAGATGGCCCAAAGACACACTCCGAAGAATTCCAAATCGTGATTCGGTCGTTCAGGGAGACCGCGGTTGGAGGCAGGGTGGCCCGAGGAAACCCCCTGAGGTCCCCAGAATACGCCCAGGAGGCTTCCATAAGGCCGTAAGAAAGCCTGAAACAATTTTTGTGAGGCCCCCAGAGGTTCTCCAAGGAGGAGCCTCCGCAAAAAAGAGCAGAGGAGGGTGGGGAGCTCCCCACCCTCCTCAAAACACTGCGCACACTCCCGGGAGTGTGCGCAGGGTATGGCGAAAATAAGGAAACGTAAGCATGGATAAAGGATAACGAAAAACATAATTATAGCGGCGATGCCGGAAAAAGGCAACAAAGAGTTATCGCTAAATTGTCGGCTTGACCTTCCTGCTATTTCGCCGGCATGCCAAACTTCAAGGACTAAGGTGCATGGCGCGAAGCGCCGCTGCAATCTTGTATTCCACTTCCTATATTTTTGCAAGCCCGGGCGGGGGGGAAACCCGTCCCCCCCCCCCCCCCTAAAAAAAACTGGACTCCCGGGACCTGGGGCTTTATGGCCCTCCGGACGGGCCTCGACGCGGCCCCCGGGCTTCGCAGGGCGTTTTGCCAAGCCTTCCCAACACACCTAAGGCGATCCGGGGTGTCATCGGAGACGTCCCAGAGACCCCCAAGACAGCACAAGAGCGCTCCAAGAGTGACCGACGTGACCTCGAGATGGCCCAAGAGGCCTCCAGGACGGCCCCAAAGAGGCCTCCAAGAGCACTCCCAAGGCCCCCCGAGGCAAATATCATTGATTTTCTGCGGGTTTTTGGTGAAGTCTGCGGTTCTCCTCTTTTCGGCTTCCCGACGCTCCAAGACGGCGGTCTTCTGGGCGTTCGAAGCCGCCTGCAGGGCTCCCAAATCGCCCCACAACCGTCCAAAAGGGCTTCCAGGCAGTCCAAGAGAGCCCCAAAACGGCACAACACGGGTCCAAGATGGCGCTCAGAGAGCCCCATGGCGGCCCAAGATGGCCCAAAGACACACTCCGAAGAATTCCAAATCGTGATTCGGTCGTTCAGGGAGACTGGGGTTGGAGACAGGGTGGCCCGAGGAAGCCCCCAGAGTCCCCAAGAATACGCCCAAGAGTCCTCCAGAAGGCCGTAAGAAAGCCTAAAATATCTTTTGTGAGGCCCCTAAAAGCTCTCCAAGGAGGAGCCTCCGCAAAAAAGAGCTGAGGAGGATCGGGAGAATGCGCAGGGTATGGCAATCACCAGACAGCTCGCCCCTTGGCCCCCCGCCAGCCCCACGCAAAGGGGCGAGCATATATACGGGCGCAGCACCGCGCTGGATGCGTAGCCGTCGGCTGGGCCAACCAAGCGAATGACGCATCGCGTGGCGGCTGGATGCCCGCGCCGAGCACTGATATTCTCGGTTCCTCCCTCCTCCTTCTCCTCCTCCTCCGCGGGCTTAAAACTGCCATCGAAATATCCTCACCCGCTGGCTTAAAACTATCACAGAAATATCCTCACCCGCGGGCTTAAAACTGCCACCGAAATATCCTCACCCGCTGGATCAGAGCAGCCACAAGAATATCCTCACCCGCTGGCTTAAAACTGCAACCGACATATCCTCACCCCCGGAAATGAAACTGCCACCGAAATATCCTCACCCGCTGGCTTAAAACTGCCACCGAAATTTCCTCAACCACCGGCTTAAAACTGCCACCGAAATATCCTCACCCACTGGCTTAAAACTGAGACCGAAATTTCCTCACCTGCTGGCTTAAGACTGCCATCGAAATATCCTCACCCGCGGAAATAAAACTGCCACCGAAATATCCTCACCCGCTTTCTTAAAGCCGCCACCGAAATATCCTCACCCGCTGGGTTAAACTGCCAGCGAAATGTCCTCACCCGCTGGCTTGAAACTGCCACCGAAATATCCTCACCCGCTGAAATAAAACTGCCACCGACATATCCTCACCTGCTGGCTTAAAACTGCCACCGCTCGATAACACTCGATAACACATCGATAACACCTCATGCTATCGAGGTGTCATCGAGTGTTATCGAGGTGCTCTCGAGCGTTATCGAGCTCGATCACACTCGATAGCACCTCGATAACATCTCGAACACATCTCAAAAACATGTTATCGACGTGTCATCGGGTGTTATCGAGGTGTTATCGAGCGGGTGATGGTCACCCGCTGGCTTAAAACTGCCACCGCAATATCCTCACCCGCTGGCTTAAAACTGTCACCGAACTATCCTCACCCACTGGCTCAAAACTGCCACCGAAATATCCTCACCTGCTGGCATAAAACTGCCACCGAAATATCCTCACCCGCTGGCTTAAAACTGCCACCGAAATATCCTCACCCGCTGGCTTAAAACTGCCTCTGGAATATCCTCACCCGCGGAAATAACACTGCCACCGAAATATCCTCACCTGCTGGCTTAAAACTGCCACCGAAATTTCCTCACCCGCTGGCTTAAAACTGCCACCGAAATATCCTCACCCGCGGAAATAAAACTGCCACCGAAATATCCTCACCCGCTGGCTTAAAACTGCCACCGAAATATCCTCACCCGCGGAAATAAAACTGCCACCGAAATATCGTCACCCGCTGGCTTGAGACTGCCACCGAAATATCCTCACCCGCTGGCTTAGAACTGCCACCGAAATATCCTCACCCGCGGGAATAAAACTGCGACCGAAATATGCTCATCTGCCGGCTTAAAACTGCCGCCAAAATACCCTCAACCGCGGAAATAAATCTGCCACCGAAATTTCCTCACCCTCCGGCCTAAAACTGCCACCGAAATATCCTCACTGGCTGGCTTAAACTGCTACCGGAATATCCTCACCCGCGGAAATAAACTGCCACAGAAATATCCTCACCCGCTGAAACACCGAACTATCCTCAACTGCTGGCTCAAAACTGCCACCGAAATATCCTCACCCGCTGGCTTAAAACTGCCACCGAAATATCCTCACCCGCTGGCTTAAAACTGCCACCGACATATCCTCATACGCGGGCTTAGAACTGCCACAGAAATACCCTCACCCTTTGGCTTAAAACTGCTACCGACATATCCTCACCCGCGGAAATAAAACTGCCATCTAACGGCCTGGTGGTTCAGTTCAGTCTGTCTACCTCGCGAAAATCAAATTACGGGCTGCGCCAGTAAAACGTAAGGAACGATAAACATGGAGGAAGGATAACGAATAACATCATTATAGCGGCGATGCCAAAAAAGGTAACCAGGAGTTATCGCTACGTTGCCGGCTTGACATGCCTGCCATTCCGCCTGCAAACCAAACTTTCAGGACCAAGGTGCATGGCGCGAAGCGCCCTTGCACTCTTGTGTGTATAAGTATGTTACCATCTGTTATGTATTACCACAATGCATGTATATGTATATGCGTGTGTATGTATGCATGTATATAGATATACATGTATGCATACATATATATATATATATAAAGATGTATACCACGTGTAGCACATGTTTTGCATGTGTACGGATACCACTGTACTTATGTATTACCACTTGTGGCATATGTGTATATGTATGTATGTATGTATGTATGTATGTATGTATGTATGTATGTATATATGTATGTATGTATGTATGTATGTGTATAAATATATACATATGTGTATATATAGGTAGTATTAAAGAGCGAAGGAGAAAGATAGAGAGAGAGAGAGAGAGAGAAAGAGAGCGGGAAAGAGAGTGGGAGGCAATGGGGGACGAAACAAAGAGGGACAACGAATCGGGCATATTATTGTATATAAAATAATAGGGAACATGATGGAAAACAGAGGGCGCACAAAACAACGACGATCAAGAGTGGGGTGAGAAAAAAGTGGAAGCAACGCATGAAACGCATATGGTGGTGGAAGGTCGACGTGACACGTATAATTATGGAATGATAGCAAGCCCACAAAGCCGAGTGACCGTATTCTTCCCTTTCCCAGATAGCGGCCGCTACCCAGGGTTACCGGGGGGGGAGAAGCGGGATCGGGCGGGAGGGTAACGGTAACGGCGGCCGCGGCGTGCGCCTACCAAGGTGCCTCCGCGC